TTTTTTTTTCGCTTGCTGAACTATCTTATTTGCAGAGTGGAACTGTTCCGGATATTTAAATGGAAAAAAATTTCAATTTTACAATCTGTTGAAGAAGTGTTTACCTCAACAGCAAAAGATTTGGAAAAATTATGTCGTGCAAATGGTATACGAGTTGAGAGGCAAAGTTTTTATGGGAATCCGGAGGGAGCGATAAAAGCTTTGAAACGCCAAGATGCTCGCATCATCGTCGGGTTATTTTATGACAATGAAGCTAAGCGAGTTCTTTGTCAAGTGAGCTTATTTTTCATTTCTTGTCTCTAGTTATGCCAGTGCCACTTAAATGTCAATTTCTGCATTATTTTTTTTCAAAATTTTCTTAATGCAGTAGTGTACAAGCTACTGGGCTTCTACTTCCTACTCATTTTTCTGCTTCTCTTGCGCCTTTTGTCACAAATTCTGCTTAACTTTCGTTAGAATGCTACACGAAACCTGTCTCGTAAGGCTGAAAAATTTTACTTATTTAAAATACACAACAAACACACATAGGTATTTTGCATTTTCTTTTTCAACTGACAGGACGAAACGAAGCAAGACAGAGTAAAGGAACTTGGAATAATGTAAAATATATCTGTCAACGAATTATATCTGTCTGTAAAATTGAGGTAGTTTAATCAGTATAAACACAAGAGTTATGAGCAAATTAAAGTGAGCAGATCAAATTTATTAATTTTTAAAAAATGCATATTGTCAACAGTAATTGTTTAATTTTTTATATAATCTTCACTTCTTAACAAGAAATAATTGAAAGAACAGATACTGATTAAAAGACAAAAAAGAAATCTTTATTATCAGTCTAGCTGCACGAGTCATTCCAGTAGCTATTCTTTCACTTATATCACTAATTATTAACTACAAAGGCGTATTTTTGTTGTCAGGCACACTGACCACAAACAAAGAATGAAAGCAACTACTGATACAAATGCAAGATTTTTAGATTATCAACACAATTTAAAATTGTTTTCAGTTGGCTGAACACTTTTGAGATTTTTTTCTGCTATTTTGCAACTTTCGATTAAGAAAACAAGGAATGTCAAATAAAACTGAAATAAAAGAATCAGATAAAATAAGTTGTAGAGAAAAGAAATTGTCTTTCATTTTATTCTAAAATTTTTATTCGATGACGGGGATTATATAATCATTGAAGAACCATCAAATACAATGACGGCAATGAAGCAAACTGCTGCTGTTTCTGTCTGACCAAATATTGGCTGTTAAGAGTTATCGGCAACAGCGAGTCAATGATCACACTACTTCAATGATCACAAAAAAGTAATGTCATTCTTGAAAAAAATTTTTTTTTAGGCATATCATCACGGATTATATGGCAAAAAGTATGTTTGGTTTTTTATTGGCTGGTATGCTGACAAATGGTTCGAAGACACCACCAATATCAATTGTACAAAAGCGCAGGTTAATCAAGACAATTTGAAAGAATAAATTTAGCGTTTGATCCTTCCTCAGCGACGCATTCTAGGGCTTATTCAGTTCTAATAATCCATGAGCTTTCTTTGCTTGGAAAAAACATCTCGTTTTGTACGTGTTTTTCAAATGTATTTTTTAATCAATTGGTAACTGCTAGTACATTTTTCTTTATTAAATAGGTGTTAATTTTGAAAACTTTTGTTATTTGAAGTTAACATTATATTTTTAATTTAAATTATTAGGATTTAGTACCAAGTGACCTGCTAAGCATAATTGCAAAATAAAATTATTGTGTAGAAACAGTAGGGTTATAATTCTGATTTTTATAACAATATTTTAAATTTTAGCTTAAATCACATTTTTGCTTACTGGACTTCTCACTCCTTCTTTTTAATTCTTTTTATTGCTGAGAACATTTTTACTTCCTAAGCAGTTTCTAAAAGTGTGAAATTTTTGCCAACAATATAACAATAAAAGCTAGAATTGATTTAGATGAGAGAAGCCGCGGAATATCATATAACCACTGAGAGTATTATGTTAAGTGCAAGCGAAGAAAGAACGATCTCTGGAATGACCGGCAAGGAATTTCAAAAACGGCTAGCAGCTGGTCTTGAAGACCCAGCTAACACTGGCGGTTTTCCAGAAGCTCCACTTGCATATGACGCTATATGGTAATATTCATGGAATTTTTTAAGCCAACAGAGCTGAATTTTGGTTTGCTGTTGATGGCACTCCTTAAGTTAATGAAATAATCCTTTTTTGTCTGTGCAACAGCAAACTCTTCGTCAACCGTGGTAACATTCTAGGGCAGTTGCTTTAGCGTTTGACTGCACTATCTCGAAGCTCTCACGCGGAAGGCGAATTGAGGATTTCCATTATAACGATACCAGTCAAAAAGAGAAATTATTTGAATGTATGCAGAATACACGTTTTAAAGGCGTATCGGTTGGTTTCTTTTTTTTTTTTTGTTTAAATTATGTTTAACGTTTCTATGCTGTTGTTGGTGTAACAAATTTAAAGAATTTTAAAATAAAAATTTTAGATCTTTTAAGGCTACTAGACTGTATTTTGAAGGCTAGACTGTAATTTATTGATGTTTTTAGGGACAAGTAATGTTCAATCAAGCAGGTGATCGAATTGCAAAGACACAAATCGAACAGTTACAAGGTTTTTCTGAACTATTTTCAAAGCTAAAAATAGTTTTGTACCTGCTGGTAGCATTATACCAGACATATGTTGATTAATCTTCAGGTATTATAAATGAAAATTAATCCCTATTTTTTTGTAGAAATCTAGTAGTTTTATACCACTTTAGATGGAGAATATCGGGTGTTAGGTATATACGATACCCCGACTAGACAGCTCAATTGGACCGGTGTAGCTAAGTTCAAAACCAGCGATGGTCGACCGCCACCAGATTCAACGATTATACAGGAGACGAAGCTTACTGTAGGAAAGGATGTATGTCTTTGAAGCTGTTAAATGAAGCCGGGAAATTAGTTGTGGAAAACGGGTGCGAAAACTACAACAGTTTATTTCATTAGCGAGAAAGTCTCTGCATTTTCTTTGTCAAAGCTCATATTTTGTTTCTTTTAATTTTCATTACATTTTCAATAAAAATTTTTTCAGCTTTACTTTATTATAATGGTTTTGGCTTTGTTACAAATGATTACTTCAGTGGTTGCAGTAGTGTTCAGCATAAAAAATTTCGACAAGGGGTAAGTGAGTCGTTTTCATTTTTTGCTTTTCTTTTTTTATATTGTAAGTTGATTATAACCAACCATTTAATTTATAGCGAGAATAAACACATGTCATTTTGAATGAACACGTCTGTTCTCTAATTCAGCAGTACATTTTGAGCAAACTGAAAGTAACTTTTTCAAACACAATATACAAGTTTTTTTTAATCACTACTTTCTTCTTAGTGATTACATAAGTCTAAAAGCTTTTTCTAGTATATTATAAACTGCCTAAGAAAAAGCTAAACAGCAGATTTGGAACAGTGTTTTTCGTTCTAAAACTGTCTATGAGTATACTAACATAGCTTCCTCACATTTACCACTGTTTTTCAAGCAAGTTATAAGTCACTACTTTAAGATATAAATGCAACTCGAGAAAAAAATATTTCTTTGTTAGAAACTTAAACTGAAAAAGTAATTAAGAACAAATGTAATTAACTCAGTGTCCTGCAATTACCAACTACCTGAAAGCTTTGATTAACAAATTATTAATCTAAATGTTTTGTGTTTGGGTTATCACGACCATATTGCTGCTCATTTTGCAACATGAGCCGCATGAGAATGCGAGTTTATAAAGTTAAACTGCTTATCTGGAAGTTATACAAACATTTAAAACGTTAAACAAACTGGTATTTTATGATTCATGAAGTGAAAATTATTCATTGATGAGTCTAATACTAAGAAATTTTTTACCTTTTAATTCAGAGAAGGTAGGAAGAATTAGAAAGAAGCAAAGAAGGTTTACTGTCTCTGTTCTACTAATTTGTCTAATAGGGAGAACTACTGATTTACTTGGCGACCTTCTCAATTACATAAATGATACGGCTTTTTAAAGAACATCTTGTATTTTCTTTGAACTAAAGAAGTCGGCTTAGAAAAACTAACCTTCTTTTAGGGTTATCAAATTTTCGCAACCACAGTGCAATAATTTGCTGGTTAGTGGTTGTTTTTTATGCTCGTTAAGTCTAATTTTGCTGGGATTACCGATAGAAGGTATCAACTTCTCACCGAGTAGTTTTTCCTTTTTATGTCATGTAAGTATATTTTAATTAGTTTTGCTTTCAAATTTACTAATTAAGAGCAAGTTTTAAAGATGTAACAGACTGTTAAGAATGAAAAATGTTACAAGTTCTGAATACACTTTCTTTTTTTTTTTTCAAGAGTAGAATATCGTTGCTGATGTGTGGATTCAGCTTGGCATACGGAGCTATGTTTTCAAAGGTGTGGAATGTGCACCAATTTATTCACAAACAACGTGTTAACTCAAAAAAGAAAGAAGAGGTATTTTGAGTTCACTTTTTTGCTAATTGGTGAAACAGCAAAAAAGGAATTAAAAATGTTGTTTGCGACACGCAGTGACAGCAAATGAAACTATAAATTGACGTTGAAAATTCCTCACTATAATTAATTTGTGTAACACAGTAGTGATACTGAAAATATCAAATGTCGTTTTTCAGCTTTTGTTTTTGCTGTCACTTTTGAATTTATCTGAATTTGTTGACTGCTTCTAACAATTGTCTTCTAGTTTTTATGCACTTTGTTGAAAAAGCTTCTAAGTTTCAAAAAAAAATTAAAAATCTTTCTATTTATTATTCTGGTTTTTCGTAAAAGAAATAAAAGCAAGAATTCTGGTTATCAATACCATTAGAAACTAGTTCTGTAAGCTGTTGCAGTTATAGGTGATTCCAGCTCAACGTTTCTACACTGTAATTCTTCTGTTCCTCATCATTGATCTCATAATCATTTCTTTTTGGGTGCTTCTTGATCCACTTCGACAGACCAAACGGCGTTTTCCGTCGCAAGTAAGCTTAAAGACGTTTTTATGCTTTTTTATAGGACACTTCAACGTAAGTTAAACATTTTTTTGGCATTTAAATCGAATATTACGTGGAAATCAAAAAACATTCATTCTGTAACAACTTTTCTTCAAGACTTTGTTGCAATCTTCAAATGGAACTGTCTGAAAAGATTAAATTTTTGGTCAAACCACTATATACTTCATTTCTAATAAATTCTTCATTGTTTATTGTTTTACTTTTTTGGGACGGTTTTGGGGAAGCACAAATTTAGAAAATTAGAGAATCATTTTAGTTTTTTGCAAAACTCGGTTGCTAATTGTTTATTATAAAAATACTTAAATTTTTTATCATAAAATTGCTTCAAAATATAAGATCAAGAGTATGATGTACATATTTTTCGTTGGGATCAGAATAGGTTTCGAGAGAACGTTAACGGAAACAGAGAAAAGGATTGTTTATCTAGGACAAGAGGACAAGAAAAAGTGATATAAAAATTCACAGGTTTTTCATAGTGGAACACAACAGAACAGCATAAAGAAATCTGGAACAGTAATTTTTAAACATACTTTGTAATATTGCTGTATTTAAAACTACAGGAGATTACAAAAGACGATGACGATATAAAGGTGATTCCAGTGCTGGAACTTTGTCAAAGCCTGCATAATAAGGTTTGGACAGGTACAAATCTCTTTGCTGATGCTTACTAGTGTTTTAATTTTCGATTGTTTGCCGAACCTCTCTTTAATGAATTCCATAGTTTTTCCTGCTTCGGAAAGAACCGTGCATGAAACAGTTTGGGGATAACAAGCAGTCGCTCTCAGAAAATCGTATTCAAAACAGTTGACACACTTTCACAACAAGCAGGAGATATAGTTTTTTCCGCTTGTGCTATTTAAACACACAGAGTACTTTTGCCTTTAAAAGTCAAAAAAGCAGTCATCGGATGGCGTTAACAGAAAAATTAAGAACTTAAACAAATTTGCTTCTTACACAAAAATAAAAAATTTTTTATTACTCTTGAAATATCACCTAAAAAATCACAAAAAACAGGTTTGCTTAGACTATAATCCTTTTCTTTTGCGTCGACAAAAGAGAAGCAGCAAAAGAGTAAAATCTGTTTCTATTTGGAATTTTTAAACAGAGAAGCAGAAAAAAAAGCTTTCCTGTTTTTCTGCTTTTGGCAGCTTATTGCTTACTTTGCTATAAAATCACTTTTGAACTTAATAAATTACATTCAATTTAAGGACTAATATTTGGTTACAAATGTCTGTTATTGGTGTTAGGACTATTTTTGTCGTATGATTCAAGAAATCTGCGTTATCGTTACGTAAATGATTTTCGAATGGTTGGTTTAGCAATTTATAATGTTGCAATATTATGCCCAATTACGGGCGTTGTTGTCACATTCTTAATACCTTCACATGCTAATGCCAACTTTGCATTCATTGGAATCACAGGTTTGTGTTCAATACCTTATCTGACGGCCTTCATTCTCATCAGTTTTTGTCATTGATGTTTACTATTTCCATTATTATATTCATACTTTCACGGTCACTTTTATCATTTGTTGTTGTTAGGTGTTTTTATAGAATTTACCTATTTTGCATGAAGGGCATTTCTGGTTTAGTGTATAGTAAAATTGGACTTTAATCAAAAAATAGTATCAGTAGTTGTCTGTCACTTCTTTTTCAAGTTTTACTGACTGAAAAGAAAGTATAAAGCTTTTTAACATATAAATAACTCAGAAGAAATTGATTGTCTTTGTTGATATCTTCTAATATCACATAAAAAACGC